TTGGATAAAAGCAGCTCCACAGGCTGAAGAAGTCTCTTGGATAAAAGATGAAACGTTTCAACAAAAACTCAGTCCAGAGGACCTGATTTAACTTTGTTACAGGTATCTAAATTATGTTACAGTGTGCACATGTCTGAATGTGCAACAGTATTTATTGGGTTTAAAATTGAAAGTGTGGTTTATGGGCATAATTGATGAAGTTGCATCAGATTTAATTAATTTATTGTTGTTTTGTGGCTGCTGCACGAGTCATACACATGTCTTCGACTAAGTGGATGTGGTGTTTCTGTGGAAAGCTTGCAAACATGGGAACAAGGGGTCAGGACACAGACAGACAATTTCACTACAATACAATTGTCTAGTTAAAAAATGTTAAAAAAAATTTTTTTAAAGTGTTCCTCTGTGTGTGTTCATGAAAATGTTGAAAGTTGAGACGGGCACGTATCAGGACTCTGACTTGACGTTCCAACATTTTTAAAGGTCTCTCTTGGTTTTTTTCAGTTTTTTTTTTTATTTCATATTATTATTAATGAACTCATCTGCACATAGTCCTGACACTGTAACAAAACATACAAGGACATTTCAAACGCGAGGCTCGTGACTTCATATTTAGAGCTAAACAGGCCCTCAAAACCCAAAGTTGGGTTTTGAAATGGGTTTTCAGTTCAAACCGAGTCTCCAGAATCTACCAGAAAAAATATTATAAGTACACATCACTCCAATTGCTTGAAACGTCTTTAAAAACTAATTTTTAGGTTTAAAAATGTCATTTTATTTTAGTAAGTGGTGTTTGTTGTTTTACTTGAACGACACACAGCTTGTGTGGCAATAAATGAGGTCACGTTGTCTCTGACAATTTATTTTTAAACCTGTAAAACTTGTTCTTTCAACAGCTTTCAGGCAATAACAAAGACGGCTCAGCATCAAGTTGTCAGCCATGTGATGGATAATTATGTCATATTATTAGCTCATGTGGCTTTTAATTTTCTTTCTACACAAGAATTTTGTTCCGTTAAAGGAGTGTTCTTTTTTTACTATTATTATTATTACCGTACTTGCTGCCGTATAAGTCGCATCAGTCCAAAAATGTCTAATGAAGGAAAAAACATAAATAAGTCGCTTCGCCGTATACGTCACATCTATTATGCGCCACCGCTGACCACCCGGAAACGTGGGCCGGTGTTCTGCCAAAAATCGATTGACTGCCAAATGGCGGCCACGAGAGTGTGCACGAGAGGACTTTAACAAGAATTTAGCGAGATTAACACTTAAAAATAATTAGTTGTTTGCTCAAAATTATAGCAAATGTGTGTCTCAGTTGAACTTTTCCTTAATAAATGCACTTTTAATGGTCAAATCAGCTGCACTTCGTCCGGGCGGCGTGGCGGCAAAATGCAGCTGATTGGTCGTTTGCTCCAGGAGTTCCAGAGCGAGACGAAGATGGCTTGGTATGGCAAGCCAAGTGTCTCATTAATAACCACTTTTACCTATTAATGAGACACTTGGCTTGCCATAAGGGATGCACAATATTGAATTTTTGGCCGATATATTTTTATATACTTTTGTCAGAACATAGTCTTCTTATTTATGCTTATTTGCTACAAAACATGTGTAACAGCTGCAGGTAGGCGCACGTGACGTCATCACGTGCTGCCGCTGCAAGCATCCTTGTTACTGGGTTGTCATACAAAAACGGCGCCTTTTATATCGGTGAGTTATTTTGATGGAATGGCCGATATTGAACTTTAACGCTAATATCGGCTGATACCGCTACCATGCCGATAATATCGTGCATCCCTGCTTGCCATATTACTCAAGGGCCCTCTAGTGGCTGAAAATGGTAGTGTTCAATATTTTCCATGTAAGAATGAATGAAATTGTCAGGTCTCAGCCAAAAATTGGGTTATAAATATGGGACAAAACATAAAGAAGTTACTTCAGGGCATGCTAATTTATGCAAAAAGGTGCGACTTATACAGCGAAAAGTACGGCACCTGAAAATTAATCACGTCTTGACAAAAAAAAAAGGCTGGTTACGTTTCACATCATTGTTGGGTTTTATACAAAGCCCGTCTGTGCTCTTCTGCATTTTAAGTTTGTGTCGTCCTTTTCGTGCAGGAGTTCAGCAGCTCGTCGCCTAAAAGGAGGCGAGCGGAAGAGAAGGATGAAGGGATCGGCTCTCCGGACACGCTGGAGGAGGAGAAAGTCGAGGAGCTGAGGAGGGAGATGTTGGAGCTGCGGCAGCAGCTGGACAAGGAGCGCTCGGCTCGCATGCAGCTGGAAGAACAGGTCTGGTTTCTGACACGACACCGTATCGGCTTAACTTTTACGCAATTCTCGTCTTTTTTTCTCCGTTTTTTTTTTTTTTTTTTTTTCCACAAAATACAAACGAATGGCATCTCGAGGAGACAAAAGACTCTTGTCCTGCAGTCAGAGTAGTAAACAATAAACTTCCATCAAGCTGACAGGTTCATGAGTTCATCGGTCGCTCACATCCTGGATCTACCTGAACAGCAGGTTAAAGACAAACAGAAACTTTAAGAAGCAGGTAAAACGGAGGTAAACCGTGACGTTTCCAGCTCGTCTAAACCGAGTCCGGCGGACGCTTGTTCAACTCGGGTGCTTCGCAGTGTACAGTGGGCAGGAGGAGCTCGCGGGGCGTGTTCTCGTTGAGTGAAGCTGACCTGATGGATGCATCCCGTGTGCTTCTAGGTGCGCTGTTTGGACACGCAGCTGCACCCGGAGCGTCTGAAGGTGTTAACGCAGAAGGTGGAGGAGGAGCAGGTGCTTATTCAGAACCAAATGCTGCTACGGCTACAGCAGATCCACGCTGCTGATAAACAGACACACAGTTCTCAGGTTAATCACACACACACACACACACACACACACACACATCTGTTTTACATCTGAGTGATGAATACATGACATAATATGGTAAAGTCTCGGTCCGTCCGTAAACTTTCTCTTGTCCGGGCCATGACGTCTGATCCGCACGTCACTATATGGAGTGTCGTACATTTTGCATGACCTCAGCTCCAAGATCAAGGTCAAAGGTTATACGGGGTCTTTGCCGTATAACAGTTCATCGACAGGCGTATAATGTGTAACTCTTGTTTCAAGTTTTATTTCTCCTCTGTCCTTCAGGTGTTGGCTCCGCCCCCAGCCCCGACTCACCACCCCACGGTCATCGTCCCAGCTCCAACACTAACCCAGCACCCCCATCATCACGTCACTGTGGTGACCATGAGCCCGTCTGCCCACACCAGCGCCGTGTCCACTTCCAGACAGAATCTTGACACGATCGTGCAGGTATGGATTATTTTTTTTAAACTTTGTACAGAGCAGCACGTGAAACTAAATAAAAGCACGATTTCTGTTTCGTTACGTTGGTTAGGCTCCACGTCATCCCAAGTGGTTTATAAGAAACGAACTGGACTTCTCTGATTCTTGACCACGTTTCATCTCATCCAAAAGTATTTTTCAGTTCTGATCGTGAGTTGCGAGTGCCCGGCCTGTTGTTGTCACAATCACGGGTCGCTTGCCCACCTCTCCATCTTAATCTTAATTCATCCTCACGAGGCCGACGTGAGCTGTTTTTGGTTGCACGTTTTAATTTGTAGTGACTGATGGTGTAAATCTACTGAAGAAGCCTTTTTGCTGAGCGGTGAAGCGTCTTCAAGAATCAGTGAGTCCAGTTCTGTTGAACCACTTGGTCTGTTTTTCTGGTGTTTGTATGGGGGGGGTTGGAGCTAACTGCTAATCTGACTGAACAGTGGATAGCTGTCATCTTAAAATAACTCGTCTCGTTTTTATTTTATTATTTGCAGTTCATGCAAACAAGACTTTTATAAAACTTGGACTTAAGCCCTTGAACTCAAATCTTTTAATAAAAATGGTGTGTGAATGTTTATGAAGCATTCACACAATTATGATCCATTCGTTTTCAAACTATTTCAACAAATCATAAATAAAAACGTTCGGCTCTTTCGGGACAATCCTGCTATGACTTTTGGTGTTGGTGCAACTTTAGCTTTTTGAAATATTTAGTCTTTTCTGCCATTTTTTTCTCAAAATGAATTGAGCTCATTTTCCATCCTTCAAATCTTTAGCTGTTTACAACCTTTTACTGCTCCTTTCACATTTTGTTCTGGTTCAGCTTCTTTCAGCTTCCTTGTGCTAATTTAAACTTTTTTTCAGCTAATTTCAGCTGTTTTGTTCTCCTTTCAGATCATTTCTTCTAACTACAACATTCCGTGTTTCTTCTAACTTCTTTCAGCTCCTTTCAGCTTATTTCTGCAAGTTTCAGCATTTTCTACTATTTCAGCTAATATTTAGATGTTTGTTTGTTTTTTTACTAATTTTAGTTTTTTGGTTAATTCCACATTTTTGGCAATAATTTAAACTTTTTTTTAGCCTAATTAAGCAAAAATGTGCTCTCCCACTTCTGGTAATTTAAGCTTCTTTCTGCCTTTTTAATCTACTTTTCGGCCGTTCTTCATAAATTTCAGCTTTTTTCAATTTCCACTTTTTGGTGTTTATTCCTGCTTCTTTCTGCTTTTTAATAATTCTGCTAATTTAAGCTTCTTCCAACTTTTCAGCTACCACATTATAATTTTTTAGCTAACTTCAGCTGTTTTCACATAAATTTTAGTTTTTCATGGTAATTTCTGCTACTTTCAGCTTAATTAACTTCTTTCTGCTAATTTCAGCTTGTTATGCTCCTTTCAGCTTTTTTCCTGCTATTTCAGCTTCTGTTGAGCTGTTTTATGCTAATGTTAGTTGGGTTTGTTTTTTCCCAGCTAATTCCAATTTTTTCAGCTCATTGCTGCTCTTTCCACTTCCTTTTGGTAGTTTAAGCTTCTTTCTGCTTTTCTAACTTAATTTTCAGCTATTTTTTCCTAATTTCAGCTTTTTTAGCTAATTTCTTATTTTTTGTGCTCATTTCTGTTTATTTAATATGTTCCTTCTGTTAATTGAGGCTTCTTCTTCCATTTCAGCTACTTTTAAGCACATCTTTAGCTAATTTCAGCTGTTTTTCAGCAAGTCCGTCTACAATAAGCACTGCTTTTTTGCAGGAAATGCCATTTCTATTTTTTTCTGTTCCTCAACCTCAACCTGTCCATAATTAATGACCTGCGCTGACAAAACGCATCTTCGTGTGAAATTTCTCCAATTTTCTTCAAATTCTCCTCAGAAGCTTCAAAATGAAACATTTTGTTGAAAGTTGGCGATTTAACGCCTGACCTGGCAACAAGCTAGGTTTGCTGGTTTGAAAACACAATTTGTGTTGGTCTGTAATGATGTCACTGGCAGTTCTAGCTGTATATTAATGGAAATGCCTAACTTCACAATGACTGCAAATATAATACGAAGGGATTTCCCAATAGGTCAAATTCCAAGAATAGTTCAGATGTTTCAGCTGCAAAACGTGACACCAAAAAAATGTAACAATCACCATGAAAAAGTACAAAATTAAAGAGTAAATATATAAATGTAGAACCCGGTTAAAGAGTCCTTGCTGTTGTAAAATATCCCTTTTGTTTGCCCCGACAGGCCATCCAGCACATCGAGCGCACCCAGGAGAGGAGAGCCAGCGCAGAGGACGAGCAGCGACGAGCCGTCATTGTTAGCCCCGCCCACATCGCCATGGACACCGCCTGCTCAGATACGGACACGGACACAGAGGGAGAGGACTGCTCGATGAACTGACCTGCCCCGTCAATTTGCACGCACACAAACACTTAAACCACCCGCTCACTGTAAGACTCCCTCCAGGAGCTTGACTACTTAAAAAATAAAAATAACCTTTTTTTTTGTTGGCATCATCCAAACTCCTAAATCCAGTAGTTAAGCTCTGTGTTGGTCTTGTACTGTAAATTTTCTGACTTTTAAAACGATAGGAAGGTCAGCGTGCAGAGGAAGCTCTGTGGGATTACGTTAGGTTTTTTTATTTTATTTTATTTTTTAGAGCCGGTCTGCCGCAACTTGAAAAACGAACTAGTCTTCTTGTGAAAAGCTGTCAGCGTCCGTCAGCCCATAACAAGTTTTTAATGTTGCCACAGTCACAGCATCATCGTCACCCAGCGTCACTGGCACACGGACAGTATTACTACACTATGGTCGGGTCGGTACAGAAAGGTGAATGTAACGAAGCAAGCAGCTCGTTACACAAACGAGCTGCTGAGAGACCGTTTCTTCATTTATTCTTGCATTTTATCGCCAGTGGCTGTGAAATCTCGTTTAAACCACGTTTTTAAACAATTCTAAATTTTAGAACTTGGGAGAATTTACAACTTCAAGAGAAAAGATATCAAATTTACTTGAAAACGAAAAACGCTTTTCATCTAAAGTCCTGAACAGTAATCTGAATTGCATCAGTTTTACTGTTTGTTTTTTTTCTTTACGTTCATGTTGCTTTTGTGCCGGGATTACCGAATGCTGAAGAATAAGATTTTGTTAAACTGAGATTAACAAATTGGTGGTTTGTTGGGTTTTTACAGAGAAAAACGGGAATTTCTGGAAGTTCTGAGCGGAGCTGCCAAAGGGCGGGAAAATTTCCAGAAACTTTTTTTTTTTTTTTTTTTTTTTATGGGACGTTAAGCTGGGGAATTGTGGGAAATATTCCAAATGTGAAACTTTCCGTAGGAATAATAATGAATTGGTCATAATTAAAACAAACTATCTTTTAGTCATTTTCAGGTGATGAAATTTTATGGAAGTTACAAATTGAATGAAAACTTTTTACATGCTGGTGCAGCAACTTAATCTGTCCAGATTATCCTAAAATATGTCCTCCCCAACTAAAGTCCTAAAAGCCAAATTTAATGTTTTAAAATTAATGTTTATTCTTGTTAATTCCCATGGAAGGTTTCCAGCTCACACTATTTCAGAGCTTAAAGTCAGTCAGTCGTTATCGAACGGTTTTATCGTAACGAAAACAGTTTGTAGGAACATTTTCTCATAATCAGCCTCTTTATTTTATTTTTTTGACTGAACCAGACTCTATAAATTCAAGATGATGTGAAAATCCAGAACGGATCCAGGTCCGTTGCTCCCCTTTGAAGGCCTGAATCCATCGTCTGGTCTTGGTTTGTGGATTTCAGTGACTATGCACTAGCATTGTTTGTATTTATGCAATTCCATCTTCTGTACATTTTGTTGGCGTCGTTTAAACGCGAGGTGAAGTTCTCTATGCACCATCGACCGGTGTGCGAATCACACCTATGGGGTGAAACTTGACGTGCTTTTATCAAAGAATGTAGTCTCTTCTTGCAAGGTGCTTTGTGTTCGTGCGTGGCGCTCTGCTGGAGAGCAGCGAGCTGAGGCCAAAATCCTTCAGTCACCTTTTTTTTTTTTTTTTTTTTATCATTATTTTGCGTGTGCCTGCATTTTTAATTTGTTTCTGAAAGTGGGGAATGGAGGAGTTGGAAGAGTTGAGGCGTTCACTGACTCGTTGTGGGGACGTGTAGAACCTTATCGGCAGCTTTAGTTGGAGAATTGAGGATCGTTCCGTGTGTTTTCAGTGTATCCGGCGTAAAAAAATGGCAAATTTAAAAATGAATCGCCGTCTTTGACATTGAACACTGAGCAGCTCTGGAGTTGCAGATGTGCCACCCACGATCTTTCTCCTTTCGCTTTGACGTGCACCACGTCTGTGCACCTCATGTTACTTTGCTTATATTTGAGCTGGGAGTTTTGACTGGAAAGCCCTGCAGCGAGCCTCCTCTCCCGTCAGACTCGATGCTGTAAACATTCCTTCATTTGGATTTGGATCCATCCTTTTGTTGTACGTTCTGTTGCCAACTGAATGCATTTTACGGCGCGCCGCTTTCTCTTGTCTTAAGCTTTTTGTTAGGACCTTTTGCTCATTTGTTGAACACAAGCATGGATTCTGCGACGGTGTGTTCTGTGGGATGTTCGGACTCCATTCGTTCGGTCAACAGTCGTATTTTCATGCCAAACGTGGGTAATGGGGATTGATTTCATGTTGTTTTTGTTGTTAAGGGTTTGGGGATGTGCAGGCCGGCGCTGAGCCTGAATTTCAGGTTTGCTCACGGGTCAGAAACACTTCACCCTCCCACATGTTTCTGTACGTTGTGTTGGCAGCGCTGCTGTTCTTTGGGTGGAATTTTACAAACGAAGCACTTGTTCTGTATACTGCCTAAAAACAATGACAAAAAGTTCATTTTTCAGCCTTTTTTTTTTATGAACTCTGCTGCGATGCAGTTTAATATCTGTCCTTTGTGTTCAGCTCTTTAGCTTTTGTTTGTATTTGTCCTGCCTTTATTTGTGAAATGCTTTTTTTTTACATTTTGTGTGACATCAATTTTGTTTTCTTTATCAGTGACAATGACAAGCTGTTATATTTTTTTTTCTATAAAAAAATAACTTGGGTTAACAGGCCTTTGTAAAAGATGAAAAAAAAAACGCCAATAAAATTTGTACTTTTTTAATTACACAATATTTTCCTGTTTGGTTTAATTGAACCCTTTTTGTCCACCAGGTGGCGACAGTGAGCAGGTCTCCAGAAAGTTCAGATTATTAATAATCAAACACAGATGGCTCATTTTGCTTCTTTCTTTGTGTAAATAAGAGTAATGAGATCATCGGATGGGATATCTGTGTACATATGACGTGAATAATAAACGTGCAAACAGCTGTGAGGTTGTTCGCATCACCATAAAGATAAAGATGGCAGCAAAACTAAAAGAAGTTGTGCAACAATTAAATCAGGTTGAGCAGCTTGTTACTAATGAGGTTAGTTGCCAGCTTGTCAGGGATGTGACTCCTTGTATCTGTAAAAAAAAAAAAAAGAATGTCGAATGACTGCTGGAGAAGCTAAAACTGAGAAACTGGTAATGATAAAATAGGCAGAACACCAGCTAAAATCAGCAACATTACCCAAAAGTTACAAAGGGATAACTAAAAGCTGAAGGTTGAGATATATATATATATATATATATATAATCTCAAAATAATAGCTAATGGGGAAAAGTGGAAACTGGGCTAGCTAAAGGTACTAAAATGGTAGCTGAAGGTAGCAGAATGGCAGCTTCAAACAAGCAGAATAGGAAGTTAAGTCATAGAGCAAATAAGATGAAGCAGATTTCGAAGAACGTTTTCGACAGAACTGAAGAGATCTCCATGTTGTCAAAAGTTCTCATTTTGAAAAGTATTACAGAAGTATCAGTCACAGCACCCTTCTTAGGACTGAGTTGAATATTTTGGAATACAAATGGCTTAAACGGCCCAAAATCTGCAGGCACTGATTGCAAAACGTTGTCTGAAAAATCTTATCTGCCTGCACCCTGGCGCTCAGAGTACGAGATGGGAATGACTTGAAATTTAAGCAGAATATGTATAAAACTGACAAGTGTTTGCTGAGACGATCACCTGCAGGAGCCATCTTGAATGAAGCTGACTCCAATGTTGATCAGCTGTAGATGCACATCAGATGAAGGCTTTCTGAGAGTTTCATGAAAATCTGCTGTGGTTCAATTCAGTTTATTTATATAGCGCCAAGTCACAACAAGTCTCGGCACATCTTTTGAATTAATTTCTGGACTTGACATGGAGTCAAGTGGATTCTCCACTTATTCTTTTGTTCTGGTAAAGTCCATCCATCCATTTTCTTTACCCGTTTATTCCATTTTGGGTCACGGGGGTCGCTGGTGCCCATGTCCAGCAATCACTGTGCGAGGGGCGGGGTACACCCTGGACGGGTCTCCAGTCCATCACAGGGTCACATAGAGACAAACGAGACAAACAACCATTCACTCTCTCACTCACACCTAGGGACAATTTAGAGTTACCAATCAGCCTAACATGCATGTTTTTGGTCTGTGGGAGGAAACCGGAGTACCCGGAGAAAACCCACGCATGCACGGAGAGAACATGCAAACTCCACCCAGAAAGGCCCCTGGACCGGGGTTTGAACCAGGGACCTGCTCGCTGAGAGGCAGCAGCTCTACCAGTTGCGCCACCGTGCTGCCCTTCTGGTAAAGTAACTGTGCTTATTTAATACAATTATTATGGTTTATATTTTTAGAGCTGATTTTTGGTTTATTTAATTTGAGTCGTGGGCGAGTTGACACTGGGTGAGTAACAGAGAAGCAGCAGAGAGGTGTGGAGGACTAAAACTCTGCTCCCGGACTGGTTTCTAGACTGGACCCTTTTGGTTCATGAGTTGGTTTGTTAGTGAACCAACACACAAGCAGACATTACATTGTCACCCTTTCACAAGTTCATTCAAAGCTATCTGAGCTGAGCACAAGTGATCACTAAACCTCTTCCTGCTCTGCTCCCATCACCATCCCTGATCGGAGCGGGCAGCTGTTCTGAAATGGGTGCAGCTGCTGCGCTCCACCTCCGTCGCCGTGCCCTCTGACCTTCAGCCGCAGCAGTATATATAGACATGTGGGGCGCTCGGCAGGCCCCTGGCAGCCAAAATGAAAGCTCTGGTGTCTGCGTGCTGCTTGCTGTCTCTCCTGGCGCTGTCAGCTGCAGGTACGGCGGCCCATTGACCTGAAGTTTGGGGGGGTGGGTGGAAATATTTAAACTAAAAATGAAAGATTAGATGGAAGCTTTGAGGGGTTTATCCAAACAGGTGTGGTGTGTGAAAGATGAATTCTGACGTGGAAGCTTGTGTGTTGAATGTGCTGAGGTTTGAGAGTCTCTGACGTGTTGCATGGATCATTACAGAATCAAAGGTTAAAAGTTGTTCTTTCGCTGAGGGATTTGAACAAATCTGCATCTTAAATGAGGTAGCTGGGTTTTATTTGTGGTTGGTTAAAGGTCACGAGTCAAACTCACTTCAGCCAAAGCAAAATTAAGATTACAGGATATCTATGTCTAAAACGTTGGCATTCATCATGTAAGCCTGTTAGCAAAATATCTCAGGAACCACTGAACAGATTTAAGGAAACGTTCAGGAAATAATCACCTATAACTGATTACCTTTTGGAGTCCATCCAATTCAAGATGGCTGCAACTCAAACAATTTGGCAGATATTGATACGGTTTGATGTGGTAGTAGCTGAGAGTCATTCACAACACATGTTGTTAGCGTGTCATCATGACAGATTGCATATGTTATTTTCAAAATCTGACCCGAAAGGCTAAAACTCGATTGTTTGTCAACGTAAAATGATTTTAGTCTGAAAATCCAACGTGTAAAGCAACTTGTGATGAAGATTTCATCGAGAAATGCTCGGACTCTGATTAATAAATAAATAGTATTTTTTTTCAGAATTAGAATCAGAATAAGCTTTATTATCACTGTACCGAAATACAGCGAGATTATGTTCATACAGTCGTTCGAAAGATGGGCGGAGTGCACGTTGCTGCTGCCACAAGAGCACGGCCTCTTATCCTTATTCAGAATACTTTTTAGATCGAAATGGGGAAAAGGTCATGAGGATGGATAGTGGTATTAAAAAATATCTCTTCACATTTTGTCATATCAGGACGTGATTTAAGACATCAAACTTTACTAGCAAGCACATTTATAAACACATTACCTTATTTTCCGGCATATAAGTCACAGTTTTTTTGTAGAATTTGTCAGTCCTGCGACTTATACGTTGAAGCGACTTGTATACTTTTTTCCCCAAATTCATAACAATTCTTGACTGATGCTTTAAATTTCTAAAAACTGCAACAGCGAGTCCTCCCGTGCACACTCGCTTTACTCAGCTGGTGCAAGTGGAGGAACGCTGGAGAGCTAGTGGCTCTGGCTGTGATGGATGGATGAATGGATGAATGGATGGATGGCAACGCCCAAGCGAAGTGAAGCTGTTTTGACCATTAAATAAATGCATGATAAACGCGATGGATCAGTGGTGACGCATAATAAATGCGACTTATATATGTTTTTTCTTCTACATGATACTATTTTTGACTGATGCGACTTATATGCCGGAAAATACGGTACATATGCATTTGATGGCAAGGCGGTAAGATTTGTCCATGAAGCACTTCCAAATAGTCCATAGTCCTGAAAAGATGTTGGTGTCAGCCAGTACAACTCTGTTAAGCCTTCACAGAAGTTCTCCGGGGTGTTGCAATAGACATAGCTTTTCCTTAGTTTACACATATCCCAGGAGAAATTTGATAAGTCAGCCTGCTTCGAGGCCAACCGAGGGAGTCAGATTCAGATAAGAAGACTGTTTTTGTCTTGTCGGCCTTGAGTCCTGCTGGTACTTTCAATCCCAAAATGGACGGATTTATGGGCATTCTGCTGTCAGTGCTTATGATCTCCCTCCAAGGTCGTCCCCAACATGCTGGCATGTCCCAGAAGCCGCAGGTGGCCTGTGATTCTCACAAATCACTTCTATCTTACAGTTTAGCTCGTAAAGCAGCTGATTTTGAGTACTCAAAGCACGAACCACACAGACTCGGCAGTTTTGCCATGGCCAAAACTGCTGCCGCCGTCTTCTTTAATAGCTGATAGCATACGAATCCGCCGGTGCCAAAAAGCAGAAACCCTGCTATCATGGGTCCAAATATATAAACATCTTCGGCATCCTCCTGAGACAATACGGAAAGACACATCAGCTCCTAAACTCCCCACAGATCCATGACGTACCCTGCCGCATGTGTCTCAGTGGGGCATGAGGGCTCTCCAGGACCCTGTTGCTGGGTTGAAAAGATTTTATCAATTGTGTTGAAAGTCCAGCTGACCAGATCCATGACAGTAGTTTTAGTTTCGGAAGATGTGTAAAATAAGAGCTCCGATACACAGACGGAGAGCAAAAAAAGCAGGAGGAGGAGGAAAAAGCGTTGTGAAACATGAACATGAAACATGAACTCAGACACGGGCAAAGACGTCACAGTCCACCTTCACCCATTCATCGATGTGCAAACTGACAGCCTGTTGCTGAAGACGTCACGTTGAGCTGGCTCGGTGCGCGGAGTGTTGATTGCTCATGGAGACGACTCTCTCTGAGTCATACACTGTCGCAGGGTTTGCAGGCAATAGTTCAGCTGAGTTCCAGTCCGACCTCATGACAATCCCAGGGTGAAGAGCATCACGCTTCCTGAAAATAGAAATGGAATTATCCCTCGCTTCTTTTCACCCTCTGACTCACTGTGGGACTATTTCAGCTCGTCCAGCACCCTGGCACCTGTTGTTTCTCTGTACCTTCAGCAAAATGTCCCATGAACCAGCGGAGGGATTTAAATGAAACTCTTAAAGGTGGTGTTCGAATGCGCCGGATTAATGGAGTCAGTCTAATTCAAGATGGCCTCCACGGAGCTTGGGAAACACCAACATGTCTCTGCCTCAGTCACTTTTACAGAGACGGTGTCATAGTAGCTATAGGAGTCATCCCCCACACCTTTGCTTGATTTTAACTATTAAAATCAACATGGTCTGTTAGCAAAATATATCTTGAAACACTGGACAAAATTTAGTGAAACTCTCAGAAAGTGTTTGCTTGGCATACATCTAGTTGGTTCACAATAAGGCTCCCATTACAGATGCTAATAAACAGATACATTATTAATTCCTCTATAAACACTTTATAAATCATTAATAAATGCTTATTATGCAATAATTAAGGGTGACAGGAGACAAAACTGAACAGTTTCTTGCCAAATAGTGAGCTAAATCTGTTCAGCTATATATAATATTTGTTTTAAAAAAAAATCCAAAAGTTTTAAACAATTGTGAAACTGATTTCAGTGTTGAAAAATAAAATGTGTTCTGATAGCGCCATGCTTTTAGTTTAGTTTTATTTTACGTGTTTATGTATGTAGAACTGTAATGTTATTGCTGGTGATGTGGGCGGAATAACTTAAATATTTATGTTTATCCAATTCACGTCAATTTAAGAACATTATTTCCAGTGGAAACGTTTTTTTTTTTCATTTATCTAAAAACGTCAAGTTGTCTTTGCTATGTTGTTTAAGTACAACTTAACAAAATGTATCAAGTCATTTTAGGTGTGCAATACTTAAATTGCAGAACTTCACTGGTTTTCTTCAGGTTTAAAAATACTGATATCGGCATTGAATAATATTTTAAGTAAACCCAACTTAAGTTACAAGAACTCAATAAAGTTAAGTTTTGTGCACTATTTTATGTTATTATAACATACTCAAAATTATCAAGTTTGTTGAGTTGTACAAACTTAAGATGTACAAGTTGAACAAACTTAACATTTTTAATTTAAATTTATTTTTTTAAATTTTGAGGCAATGATTTTGCATAAATTTTTAAAGAAAAGTCCACTTACTGTGTCTTACAGTGTTGTTATATTAAACATTTGACACTAAGTTACTAACTTGTAAGCACAAAAAGCATTTGTAAACCTAATTTTTTTAGGATATAATATTAGTTGTAGATACTTATAAAACAATAAAGTACAATATTATTTACTAATAGTCTGAAATGTTTAATATAACAACTCTAGATGAAATGTAGCTGAACAGAACTGACTCACTATTTGGCAAGAAACTGGTCAGTTTTTTCTATCACCCTTAATTAATTAAATTCAATTAAATTCTGTTTATGGCACCAAGTCACAGCAGAAGTCGTCTCGAGGCATTAAACAGAAACTTAAATTAAAAACAGAAATGAATGCATAATTAGCCATTATTAATGAGTTATAAAATGTTTATAGAGGATTTATTAGCATCTTTAAGGGGAGCCTTATTGTAAAGTGGTACAGCTAATCAACGTTAGCCAGCACTAAACTGGCCGTGACTTTTTACAGACAGTGGTCTAAGGTTGGTGTGGTGGTCACTGAGAGTCATCCTCAGGTCTCTCTTGTAAATGAGTCCCCGAGGCTCAACGGGATTAACCTGTATAAATAAAGGTCGAATGAAAAAAAAAAAAACACACTTCTTTTAGGAGCTCATAATATCACAAGGTTGTGCATAACTTCATTTACAATGTTTCACCCAAACAGCTGGAACTCCTTTATGTCACAACATGGCATGAGCTTCGTTTAAAACTCTAACGAGACGGGCGGCGGGCGATATGCATTCCTTGAAGGAATGCTGGGACTAATCCAATGAGCCTATTAATCTGGATCGGTTCATTTTCCAGCTGTTGCAGGCAGCTGTTCTCTGATCAGGTTTAAGTGAACCAGCTGTTTGTTTAATGTTTCATTAGCAGAAAGACTCAACGCTTTAATTAAACATGTGAACGTTTACATTTGTCGACCAGCAGTGGTTTAAGCCTTAATCTGGAATAAACAACTTCAGCACACTCGTAAATAAATATAAAAATGAAGCATGTTCATGGAGCAGGAAGAGGGATTAAAAGTATCTAATCTAATGTATCCAGTGTGTCTGCTGTGTGCATTTGAGGAGGAACTCAAAAATTGGTTGCTCCGTCGCAATTCAAGGAAAGAAGTACAAAAACTGTCATATTTATCATCAGTACATACATCCAGTACATACAGTATATCCAGTACATACAGTATATCCACACTAATAAATCATGAAAGCTACTTTACTGCCTTGCTCAGTAGCTCCCAGTAACGTGATGCTCCAGTAAA